CACAGAGATTTTTACAGCAGACTGGCGGTCACAGAGGTGGTTGGGATGAATATGACCACCAGACTTTCCTTAAATTCAGAAATAGACACAAGGTATGAATAATCATCTTGTAATCAAAACACTAACCATATACTCTCAATATATTCCTTTAACCCAAACCCTCACCACGTACTCTCTATATATTCCTTTAACCCAACCCCTCACCATATACCCTCTATATATTCCTTTAACCCAAACCCTCATCATATACCCTCTATATTCCTTTAACCCAAACCCTCACCATATACCCTCTATATTTTCCCTCAACCCTAACCCACACCACATACCTCTATATTTAGTCCCTGACGCAGTTCGAAAACGGGGACTTATGTTTTGACCTTTGTGCGTCCGTGTGTCAGTGCATGCGTCTGGACCAATCACAATCAAACTTTACATATACATTATACATAATATTGAGGACATATGCACATCAATTTGTTTCACGATCTGATTTTTGTGCTAAAAAATCATCAAAATCAAGCATTTATGGATGGATTTGTTCAAACTTGGTACATCATTTTATTTTTCGGATCCAATTTAAAATGGCCGACTGGCGGCCATTTTGTTTTAATGACTGCAGCAGTTCTAGTGCCATATATCTCTGCCATGCTTGAACTGATTATGATCAAATTTTATATATTCATTATACATCATGACAGAGATATATTGGTTTGACTATCTGATTCAAAATGGCCAAATTGCAGCCATTTTCGTGCTAAAAAATCATCAAAATTCAAGCATTTCTGGCATTCCAGAACTGAATCTTGGGTTTACATTAGAGATTATCGGTTCGTGATGCACATCATTTAATTTTTCAGATCGGATTGAAAATAGCCGACTGGTGGCCATTTTGTTTAAATGAATGCGCTTCTCGAGCCATATCTCTGATATGCCTTGACTGATTATGTTCAAATTTTATATATCTGTTTTACATCATGTTATAGATATATACATTATTCAAAATGGCTGATTTGGTTTTAATTAATGCTGTTCCAGAGCAATATTTCTCAATATGGACAAGTACACGTTTGACGATCAGATACAAGAAGTCAATCATTTTAATGTTAAAAAATCATCATAATCAAGCATCATCTTCTGGATCCATTCTTCTGACATGTTTATGTTCCAACTATATTACTAAAGTACTACATGTTTAAACAAAACTATATATCTTAAATTT